ATCCCCTATATATTCTGAAGAATATGGAAGGTGAAAGATGTTGAAGCCGTCGAAGAGAGCGAGCACAAAAGAGAAAAGATAGAAAGGAAGAAAGAGTGTGTGCATGCAAGCATGCATGTGGATGTGTGTGAATCTTAGCAGTTGCTAAAGCCACAACATCACAACATAACAAAGAGAGAAACACTTAGAACTTTCATTGTATATATTTTAATTGTAATTATCTGAACTTCATCTTGTGTAATATGCTTATCTAAGAAGAACACTTTTAAACATAATTGTGTTAACGCAATCTAGTTATGTTCCTCAAGCGACCTTGTCGGTCGGGATCTTAAGATGTCAATGACAATAAGTCATTGAGAAATCTTCTTAAGCGGCCATGTAGGTCAGGCCCTAAGATGTCAAGGACCGTTAAGGTTTCTCAAGCGACCAGGTAGGTCAGGATCTTGAGGTAATCAGTGACAAGTTATCACTGCTTTGTAATCATGATTTGATTATTGGATTAAATCCTTGTCTAAGGCAAATCACCTAATGGGTGGACTGGAGGCAGCCTAGTTAACGGTAAACCAGGCTAAAATGGTTGTATCTTTTATCACCGTTCTTATTTCTCTTGTTGTTATTCTTGTGTTTATTTAGAAGCGAAAACTTATCAAACTGGATACCCAATTCAAACCCCCTCGTTTCTTGTGTTTCCTAGACCTTCACTCATGTTTTGCGATTTACCAAAAAGAGAAAGTGTGTGTGTGTGTGTGTGTGTGTGTGTGTGTGTGTGTGTGTGTGTGTGTGTGTGTGTGTGTGTGTGTGTCCATGGCTGCTAAATCCCTAGATTCTCAAATTATAGTGAGTTTACATTGCCAACTCTGGTTTAGGCATCTAATAATTTTTACAACAAAATCCTCATTTGAAAATGTTTTCCCTTGAATTCTCATATGATTCACAATATGGGTAAATTGTGTTTGAATTTGATGTTCTCTTAAGGTTTCATCCTAATAAGTTCATACTCATGCATTACTATACCCAACTTTACCCTCTTTACCTCAGTATTTCCTTCATGGATAATTTGAAGGATGTCTCACTTTTTTTTTGGAATCTCGTAGTGAGAAACTCTAAAAAATTCATCAAGACTTTTACTAATCTCCTAAAGAGCTTTTATACAAGTTTAGCTCAAAACCTATATAATTGCTTCCTACAGAAGAATAATTTACTCAAGAGAAAAAATATTTCTTGGTAAATTTACAATAATTCTCTTTCTTATAAAAACCTCCTCATTAAACTCAAGAACGTTTCTCAAACTGCTATGGCAAAAAATGTGTGAGAGAAAGAAAAATAATCTAAAGGGGTGTGAGACATCTCATGTGTTTATGTATGTTTTGAAATGAATGTGGAATGACTCTATTTATAGCCCAAGAAATGGTTCAATTTAGGAAATAACTCATGGGAAAAATTAATTAATGGTAACAACTTTCTAACAAAGCCTTCCTTTCAATTTGGCCAGCAATAATTGATTATTGCAAGCACCTAATCGATTAGCTAATTGATTAGGTCAATTATTTGGCCCGTGAATTTTTTTCCAAAATTGCAAAATTTCTTGGCCTATAAAAAGATAGGCTCTCCACCATTTCAAAACATCCTAAAATACGTGAAACACCTCGGTTTTCCTTTCTCATACTCTCTCTAAATCTTTTCATCTTTTTTAGATATTTTAGCCATAGTTCTTTGAGAGTTTTCTTGAGTTTAAGTGAGTAATTTTTTTTGGGTGATAACTTTATTTTAAATTTACCAAGAGTAATTTTCTCTTTAGTAAATCAGTCTTTCTTAGGAAGTAATTATTTTGGTTTAGAGCTAAACTAGCATAAAAAATCTTTGGAGGATTAGTATAATTCTTTGTTTGGTTCATGAGTTCTGCCATTGAAGAAAATATTTCTTTTGAGTTCGTGAAAAATAACTAGAGAAAAATATTCACAACAGTTCTTGAGCTCAGCCCAGTCAAAAGCTCTACTGGTTCAAGATTAACCTAGTATAAACTCTCGATTTCTAAGTTCAACATGTGTAAAAATGTTTGTTCGATTTATGGTCAGCCAGTGTAAAACCTAAATTCGGTTCAGAGGATAGCCAACTAAAAACTCCATCTTAGTTCGAGATCAACCTGTACAAAAACTCAGTTTGACTTAGAAACTAACCGCTTCATTCCTTAGTTTGGATTTTTGTTGGAAGTTAGCCTGGATTTTTATTTTCCTTATATTAGGAAGTTCATGGGCTTAACTTTTTAAAAGCTCCCAAGTATTATTGGATACTCTCAGGATCAATTCTTTGAGAAAAGAGTATGTCACTTCTTTAAGACCGAACCGCTATAAATTTTTGGTGTTGTTCTCTATTCCCTTAACTCTTTCACTTTTTACTTATTTTCTTTACCTTGATTTTCCTTTGCACATTCAAACGTTTTTTATAAAATATTTTCAAAATCTAGTTCAAAAAAGGATTTTGTTTTAGACTATTATTTTTCAAACCTCTATAATTCACCCTTCTCTTGTGTATGGAGTCACATGTTTAACAAGTGGTATCAGAAGCTAACTCATGTTTAAATACTAATCATCTTGTGAGGAAGACGACTTCCAATATTATTTTCAACATGAGAACTTTCCTAAAAATACCTCCATCGTTTAATGGTGATAAGTTTGAATTATGGAAAGTTAGATTTAAAATATTCATTCAAAGTCTTGATATTGAATTTTGTGAAACAATAGTCAATGTTTTGTTTATCCCTACTCATTGCATAAATAGTGAAATAGTAGATAAACCATATTTTCTTTAGACCGTAGAGAAAAGTAAAAAGTTTGAAATTGATTTTAAAACTAAATTTTTTTTATTTACGTGCCTAGTTGAAAATCAATTTTTCTGTCTGTAATTGTAAAGCTGCCAAAGAAATGTGTGACACTCTTGAAATGATATAAGAAGTTTCTCCATGTATCGAGTACGAGTGAGTAAACACATGAGGCGAAGAAGATGAATGTTTCCTTCATAAATGTTTTTCAATCTTTAGAAATTTTGGAAATCGTGTTAGAAACTTTGTCGCTAAAAAAATCTAAGAATTAATAATTGGAATAAAAAACTTGGTCCAATCCTTAAATTGATAGATGATAATGTTTTTAATTTTTTAGGAAAAATCCAAGAAAAAAATCATCGAAAAGTTAAATGAGCTGATTCAGTTGTTAAAGGATCAAGGCATGAGGTCAAAACTAGAAGCATCTCTAGCAACTTCATCAATAATTTCTTGTAAAGAATAATCAACTTTAGTAATCCCCTTCCAAAGAACAGTTTCAGTTGTTGAATAATCCGTTGAAGATTCAACATTAATTGGAGGAACTTCTCCGAGGAGAGAATATGAAAAATGAGTTTCATTTAGTGGAATCTTCAAGAGAAAAAAAGGAGAAGGGGGGCTTAACAAGAAATACATTCAAAAACTTAACATCAAGGAGAAACCTTAAAGAGTCAACCTTCTATAGAACCTTCAAAGAATATTCTTCCAGCGAGTAAGATGAAGTTTTCTTGAAAGTCTCTCACGAAGAAGATGAATGAGAGGTAACAAATTTATCATACAATCAATTTTTTATATTAAACACTAAGTTAAACGAATAAAATGATAAGATTAAAAAAACATATCTTAGATCTTAAAGATTATCTTGAATTTTTAGAAAAGAATAATGAAACACTTAAGTATGAAAAAGATAACTTTAGAAACCAACTTATTATTTGTGAGGCTTGTGCCTCAATGAAATAGGAAGTGAAAGATTTGCATGAAACCCTACGTAAACTTACTAAGGGTAAAGAAAATTTTGAATGGATTCTATCAAGTCAAAAGCCTTCCTTAAATAAAGTTGGATTATGGTTTAAATTCAACAGAACAAAGAGTAAATGGTTTAATAAGAAGAAAGTGAATCAACATGTTTATAAATGTTCTTACTACAATAAATTCGAGACAACATGGTATAAAATCTCACTCCGTTTATAAGTTCAGCTTGATTAAAAGCTCAAAAGGTTCGAGATCAGCCTGATAAAAATCTCAGCTCGATTCGTGATTAGTCCGTGTAAAATCTGGGTTCGTTTTAGAGGATAACCAACTTAAAGCTCCATCTTGGTTCAAGATTAACCTAAGCAAATTCTAAGTTTGGCTTAAAGACTAACCGCTCGAAGCTCTATTTGTTATTTGGCGTGAATACTAACCGCTTCATTCCTCAGTTCGGTGTTGAGTTGGAAGTTAGATTGAAACTTCATTTTCTTTATATAAGGGGATTTGTTGGCTCAACCTTCTAAAAAGTTTTAAGTATTATTAGATACTTTCAAGATCAATTCTTGAGTAGAGGAGTAGATCATTTTTTTAAGAGCAACATGTATAATTTTTTTTTACCTTGATTTTCGACTGCACATTCAAATATTTTTAATAAAATATTTTTAAACTCTAATTTAAAAAATAATTTTGTTTTAAACTATCATTTTCAAACATTCACAATTCATCTCTTTTATGTATTGAGTCCCTTGTCCAACACCAAAATGCCATTAAATGATTAAAAATCCGTAAGTGTGAGAGACACGACGACATACATATTGTCCATCACCAACAAAAATGAGCATTTTATCCTTCCTTTATCTGTTTTTCCGATGGAGGATGGATGTCATGGGCCATTTTCCAACAAACCTTAAATAATTAAAATGTTTAATTGTTGTTGTAGATTACTTTACAAAATGAATAAAGGGCGAACCTTTGACAAGGATAATGAGTCACAAGATCATGTGTTTCTTCAAAAGAAAGGAACGTTTTCACAATAATTGACATCCTAAAAATTGTTATAACCAACAACTGAATGCAATTCACAAAATAAAAGATTCTGAGATCTACTTGAAGATAAACATGTAGTTCAAAATGCCACCTCTATAAAGTACCCTCGTACCAATGGACAAATAGAGTCCCCAAACAGTGTTTTATTAAGAGGTCTCAACTATGCTTGTTACAACGACAAGAAAGATGAAGATAAAAGTGAAGAAAATTTCGGTCGTAGTCGAAACTTATTAGAAACCAAGTAACCTAAGCCGAGACAGAGTACACAAACTCCTATATCAATGGACTTTCTCAGTACTTCCAAATCCATCTCCAAATGGATGCACGCCTCTTCAAGTTCTTCCGGATGAGTATCTTCATTTCTATTATCAACATATAACTCTGTTTCCTCTGGAATATTCTCCAACTTCAACCTATTGGTCCTATGTTTGGTTTTCTTCGTATTCCCAACCATCAGGGTGTTTCCTATAGGAACTGCATCGAGTCCATCAAAATCAAAGTTGGTGAGTGCGAATGAGTCTAAAACTTCATCAGCGTTGATACATGAGTGTGATAGATGATTGACAGGTCTACACATGTTGGTGATTCGTGGAGATGATTTTAAAAGACGGTTGAGGAAGAAAATGGATAATTTATATGAATCGAAACGGCACAAGCCACTAGGTATTTATTTAGCCTAACACCTCCGCCCATAGACCGCGCCATTGGAATTTGTAGGTCCAGAATCCGTCCACGGTTTTCTTTTCCGGAATTCTATCCTAATAATTTTCTTCAATAAATATTTAATATTATAAAATTTGATCAAATTTTATATTTTAAAGTTAAAAAATTAAAATTTTTTGACAAAATTGTTGACTAAGTAATAGCAACGGTTTCAGTTTATAAGGCATCTTTATTGTTCATTGCTGGTATGACAAAACTAATTAGAAGTGTGGCTCAAAGTATGGTGATATACACATGCCTTATATACTCTTTTCTTGCCGGTTTAATCAAAGATATAGAATGATGTATGAGAAATTTTCTGTAGAATTGTAATATTTATAAAAAAAAACTAATTATATTTGCTTCTAACAAATTTGCTCCTTTTCAAGAGGGAGGATTAGGAATTAGAAATTTCACAAAAATTATTGTGGTTGCTAATCTTAAATTGTGTTAGAACTTAAATTATATTCTAGCATGGTTATCGTTGAAATATTGATTCTCATGGATAATAGATCAATGTAGTGATAGCTTATGATAGAATTTTCTTTTTTTTTTTAGCCTTTTCATAAGTTTGTTATGATTGTCTTCTTATATCAAAAGTTGTTAGGGATAACTATTTTGACAGTTAGAGCTTGCTTTCCTATATATATTTTGTATTGCACTCTTGGTTGTTTAAACTCAATAACAAGTATTGTATGCTTTATTCTATCATGTTCTTCCTTTCCTCTACTTCAATTTATGGAGTTTTTATCACTCTTCATGCAAGTTTAAGCTCCTTTCATGAAAAAATTACAAAATGCTGAATGTTATTCAATTCCACCACAATCCTTTCCTCTATTCTCACTTTTATCCAATAAAACATCACCTACTAATTACAACCATCCACAAAATGACATCACATCTTGTGAAGACCAAGATACCACCACACCTAACCATGATGACTCTATTATATCCATTGATTATAATATCAATCATGGCCTTCACAATCCACACATCCCTGATGAGCATAACACTAACAATGATGAGCCTGACACCAACAATAATAAACCTAACACTAGCACAAACAATGACCCTGAGAATTCACATAGACCTACCAAAAACATAAATCCTCCCGCCCATCTCAAGGATTATATGCGCAGTTCCTCAAGCAATCACCTAATGCCATCACCTTCAGGTATCTCTTATCCCATTTCTTTTTTTCATTCATTTCATTTTTTGTCTCCTAGTCATGAAAAGTTCAGTTATTCTGTTAACCTTGATCATTTGCCAAAAACTTATGAGGAAGCTTGTAAGGATGATAACTAGTTGAAGGCTATGAATTTTGAACTAGAAGTTTTAGCCATAAATGGTACTTGGATACTAGTAGATTTACCACCACATGTCAAACTTATTGGGGGCAGATGGGTTTACAAGATCAAACATAAAGCTGATGGATCATTTGAGAGGTACAAAGCACGATTGGTTACCAAAGGGTATAGTCAAGTAGAAGGTTGGGATTTCTTTGACACATTCTCCCCTATAGCAAAATTGTCCACAGTTAGAGTTCTTGTAGTCGCATCTATAAAGGGTTGGCATCTGCATCAATTGGATGTCAACAATGCATTCTTGCATGGTGACCTTGAGGAAGATGTATATATGATTGTTCCACAAGGTATTCAATGCACTAAGCCTAATCAAGTTTATAAGCTGGTCAAAAGTCTCTGGTTTAAAACAGGCCAGCAGGAAATGGTATGAAAACTTACAAACTTGCTTCTTAAACTTGTTTATGCTCAATCCAGCTCAAATTCCTCAATGTACACATTGATAAAAGGTAATCACACAATAGTCATATTAGTGCATGTTGATGATGTTATCTTGGCAGGTACATCATTATAGGAATTTGATCGTGTCAAACAAATTCTGAGTAGTGCTTTTAAAATCAAGGATCTTGGTAAATGAAAATACTTTCTTGGTCTTGATGTGGCACACTCAAAAGAAGGCATTGTCATCTCTCAAAGAAAATATTGTCCTAATTTTCTAAAGGACACATGTTTACTTGCATCAAAACCTGTTGACACACCTCTCAATCGATCAATCAAATTGTATCAAGATCAAAGAAAACCTTTTGAAGATGTTACGACTTACAAAAGGCTTAATGGAAGGCTTCTTTATTTGAACAACACAACACCTGACATTACACTAGCAATACAACAATTGAGCCAATTTCTGCAGAACCCGAGTCAGATACATTATCATGCAACATGCAGAGTTGTTAGATATTTGAAAGGTAATCCTGGAATAGGCTTGCTATTTCCTAGAACTTCAGTCACTCAAATTTTGGGATACTATGATGTAGATCTGGCAGGTTGTGTTTATTTAAGGAGATCTACATCGTGATATTGTTTTTTCATAGTATCATCTCTAGTGTCATGGAAATCTAAGAACCAATAAATCATTGCAAGATCTTAATCTGAAGCGGAGTACAAAGCCCTTGGATGAGCTACTTGTGAGCTAATTTGGTTACTCTATATTCTGAAGGACCTTCATATTACATGTTGCAAACCACATGTTCTGTATTGCAACAATCAAAGTGCCATACATATAGCTTCAAATCCTGTTTTCCACGAATGAAAAAAGCATCTCGAGATCGATTGTCATCTTATTTGTGAAAATATCAAACAAGGTGTGCTCAAGTTATTGCCTATAACTTCATAAGAGCAGCTGGATGATTTTCTCACCAAGCCCTTTAACAATAAACAAGTTTCAAAAGTTTGTATTCAAGGTTGGCATGCTTGACATCTACCATGCTTGAGCTTGAGGGAGACTGTTGAAATATTGATTTTCATGGATAATAGATCAATGTAGTGATAGCTTGTATAAAAGTTTCCTTTTTTTAGCCTTTTCATAAGTTTGTTATGATTGTTTCCTTATATGGAAAGTTGTTAGCGTTGTTAGGGATAACTATTTTAATATTTAGAGCTTACTTTCTTATATATACTTGTATTGCACTCTTGGTTGTTTAAGCTCAATAAAAGTATTGTATGCTTCATTCTATCATCTTTTTCCTTTCCTATACTCTCCATTCATGTAGTTTTTATCACTTTTCATGCAAGTTCAATGTACTTTCATGGAGATCTTGGATTCTTAACATTTATCAAGCACTGATGGATAACTATGGACGAATTATTGGAAAGGGAGACAAGATTAACTTCTGGAGTGATTCCTAGATTAGTGAACCTTCTAGTGATACGTTCAATATACCTTAACACATTTAGACATTACTCGGCTCATAGGTAAATGATTATCTTTTGAATGCGAATTAGAATGTTCCATCTGAAACCATGCTAGCTTATCATACCTTAAATCAAAAGCTCTAACAAGTTATGATGACACTAGAAGAAAGAGAAGATATGCTTGTTTGGAAATCTTCCAATTCAAATAACTTATATTTCAAACATGTCTAACTTTTCATAACCCCTCTTTGTCATCATGTTCGTTGGGCTAACAATACTTGGAACAAACACATTCCACCTTCCAAATCATTACTATTTTGGAGAATATGGCATAAAAATATTCCAATTGAATACAAGTTGGTTTACAAAGGATGCTACTTTTCTTCAAAATGCAATCTTCTCTTTATAGGAACAACTTATTTTTGTTGTATTTCCATCACCATAAGTGTTTCAAACTCTTAGGACCACTTAACACTTTGAATCTAGAGCCATATAGATAATGTCTCCAAACTTTAAACACGAACGCCACAACTTCTAACTTTTAAAATTAGCAATACGGTGTCCTGGTTTCCACTATTGGAACATTTTTAACCATAGCTCTTGCATTCACTAGCACGATGACCCATCCCTCCATAACTAAAACATCTTATAGATGTATGAATGCCTCCCCCACTTGTCTCTTTCCTGCCTGAAGCCTTCCATTTTCCTTTATCATATAGAGCCTCATAAGGTTTTCCACTATTTTAATTTTCACTTTTCTTCTCACTGAAAATCTTATGGTGAACAGATCTAGCACGATTACCTTCATTGTAGATTATACACTTATTAACCAGCACAAAGAACTCTCAAGGAATTTGGTTTTGAAATTTTCCTAAGTGATCTCAGTAGCTACAACTTCAAGCCTTTGTCGAGCGTTGTCCAATTAATACTCTATTTCCTCTGCCAGCATATGAGTACCAAATAAGACTTTCTGCGTGTTAGTGCAAGGCATCACCTTGAAGATCTTCTCAATCTCTTGCAAACAAACATGAGTGGCTTCCGGATCGTACTTCTCCTTAAAATTCAGAAGATTGTTCCTCAAATACTAACTCAGCCCTCTGAACTCGTCTGCCATTCCATTCTGATTCTGAACCGCTTGATTCTACCGATCCATCACACGAGCAATAGCCTCCAAAGCATCATTGATTACATGATCATTTATTCTAACCATTTATCTGCACAGCAGTAAACAATCATTAGAAGAAACATTGCATCAACATTGTTTATACACACATATCGCATACCAGGGGACAAATAACGTCATAAAATTGGCCGGATGGACTGACATACTCTAATACCACTATGTAACACCCTAAAAATCCCAAGGCATAATTAAAAAATAAAATAAACATTTTAGGATGCTACTCAAATATAAAAAGCATACTTTTCAATTATTTTAAAACTTGCTGCGGAATTAAAAATAATTAACATAAACTTTAATTATCTCTTCAAAATAAGTACTCAACAAAACTAACAAATTCAAATATTAAATCAAAACAATTAAATGTCATGTTCCCCAATGTTACATATTAGAGAAATAGTTCCAACTAATTGACAATAAAATAGTAAAGAAAATGAAGAGAGCGTCATAATCCTCTTCCAACTCACAACAACACTTACTCCT